GTAAGTCATAGCTCCATTTCCATTTTGGTGGTTAACTGGAGATAAGAGTCTCATAGACTTTCCTGGCCAGGCTGGTTTTGAACTTCGATGCTCAGATCTCAGCCTCCTGGTGGCTGGGATTACAGACATGACCACCGGCATCTGGCTGGTGCTCTTTTTCTGCTCTCACAGGTGAGGATTCCATATGGAGGCTCTGGGGGAGCAGGACGGTGGGGCGGGGTGGGGCTTCACCTGACCCAGCCCAGAAAGGACAGTGAGGAAGGAAACAGGTACAAAAGAATGAATGAGGGCTGGGAAGGTGGCTCAGTGGTAGAGCGCTTCCCTTGCATGCATGAGGCCCTGGTTCGATTCCTCAGCACCACATAAGCAAACAGAAAAAAGCCGGAAGTGGCTCTGTGGCTCAAGTGGTAGAGGGCTAGCCTTGAGCTGAAGAGCTGAGGGACAGCGCCCAGGCCCAGAGTTCAGGACCCACGACCGGACCCCCCCCCCCAAAAAAAAAAAGAATGAATGAGGCAGCCAGTGGCAGGCAAAAGGGCCCAGAAATTGGTGGTTTCCTGTGGCTTCAGTTTGATACTCTATGCAACACCCGTGCATGCTTTCTGCATTTACTGCCCGCTGGTGCTGCTCCCTCGTGGAACGGGAGCTCAGTGTTTTCAAGGGCCTCTGGACAGAGCGCAGTCCCGAGGGACCAGCTCCCACATCCATCACCGCAGCTTGGGCTTCATCTGGGGGTCAAAGTTCATGGGACTCTGTGATGAGCCAGCAAGGCCAGCCCTGGTGCCCCTCCTCTGTCTGAGATGAAGACCATTGAAGTTAGAGCCTCAGAGGAACTTCCCAAGACCTTATAGCAGCAGAGCGGACAGTTTGGACTTCAGATTAATACTGGTCCCACTAGATGGTGCTAAAAGCAAATGGTGAGGGACTGAGCCCTGGGTGGGGGCGACTTAGGAAGCAAGGGATACAAAGTATAGAACTTAACCCAGAAAGCCACTGCCAGTTCCTCCAGAGGGACAGGGAGGCAGGGATGTGAATGATTGGCTTCCCAGGTTCAAATCTAGGGTTAACCACTTACAAGATACAGATTGTTCTGTCTCTGTCTCTTTGTGCTGGGATGGCAGGCATAGACCACCATGCTCAACAGTTAGGTTTTGTTTTTGCAGTGCTGAGCGGGAAGCAAGCCTCAGGATCTTACCTGTGGTAGGCAAGATCCACACTTGAGCCACATCCCCAGCCTGTTATATCATTTTACAAAGTCAGAGAAGGAAGGAGAAAAATAGAACTTAAGAGAGATCACCAGCTTGTTTGTAACCTAAATACTATGTCTGGGCTTGATTTGTGTGTGTGTGTGTGCTGGTTCTGGAGTTTGAACTCAGAACCTGGGAACTGTCCTTGAGCTTTTGGGTGCGAAGCTACCACTCTACCACTTAAGCCACAATTCCACTTCCAGCTTTTTGTTTGTTAATTGGAGATAAAAGTTTCACAGGCTTTTCTGCCTGGGCTGTTGTAGAATCTCAATCCTGAGATCTTAGCTGCTGGAGTGCTGGTGTTACAGGTGTGAGCTACCGGTGCTGGCTTTGTTCACTTCTTTTGTTGCGTTATCTTTTTTGTAGTTGTTGGTTTTTCTTAGTACTTCTGGTTCATTCTCATGGCTTTGGGTCATGAAATTTGTGTCCTTGAGATTTTGTGCTCAAGACTAGTGCTCTACCTCTTTGAGCCACAGCACCACTTCTGGTTTTCAGATGGTTAATTGGAGATGAGTCTCACTGACTTTCCTGCCCAGGCTGGCTTTGAACTGTGATCCTCAGATCTCAGCCTCCTGAGTAGCTAGGATTACAGGCATGAGTCATCGGCGCCTGGCTTTGCTCTTTTTTTTTTTTTTTGGTCTGGTGGTGAGGCCTGAACTCTGGGCCTGGGTGCTGTCCCTCAGCTCTTCAGCTCAAGGCTAGCGCTCTACCACTTGAGCCACAGCGCCACTTCTGGCTTTTTTTCTTTTTGCTAATGTGGTGCTGAGGAATTGAACCCAGGGCCTCATGCATGCAAGGCAAGCGCTCTACCATTGAGCCACCTTCCCAGCCCCTGCTCATTCTTTAAGATTTATCAATTTCAAAAAGTTACCAGTGTATTGTAGAGCATTTATGCAGATAGTATGCAAAAAAAAAAAAAAAAGTCCTGGAGAAGAGACATTTTCTCTGGCATCAATGGGAATCATTTTATAGCACCTATAAACTTCTTCATCAACAAATGCAATTTCAGATTTACTGGCTTCAGAGACTGCTAATTATTCATGGGGGACATGACTAGCAGCAAAGTTCAGAGCAGTCATAATTCAACCTAGCAACTATTAATATGTAATTATTTTTTGTGCCAGTCCTGGGGCTTGAACTCAGTAATCCCTTAGCTTATTTGCTCAAATCTAATACTCTACCTTTGAGCCATAACTCTACCGCCAGTTTTTAGGTGGTGAATTGGAGAAAAGAATCTCACAGCTATGCCTGGCTCTTACTATGCAATTCTTTTTTTCTTTTCTACTTTTTTTCCCCTTTTCTTTCTTTTCTTTTCTGCCAGTCCTGGGGCTTGAACTCTGGGCCTGGGTGCTTTCCTTGAGCTTCTTTTTGCTCAAGGTGAGTACTCTACCACTTGAGCCACAGTGTCACTTCCTGCTTTTTGGGGGTTGTTTATTGGAGATTAGAGTCTCATAGAGTTTCCTGCCCAGGCTGGCTTCAAACTAGGATCCTCAGATCTCAGCCTACCAAGTAGTTAGGATTACAGGTGTGAGCCAGTTGGCACCTGGCTACCACGCAATTCTTTTAAGGTGTTATGTCATTGTATCAACAAGTTCCATGTTGCTTTTGAAAATTATGACTAAAGGTCTGGGAAGGTGGCTCAATGGTAGAGCGCTTGCCTTGCATGCTTGAGGCCCTGGGTTCGATTCCTTAGCACCACATAAGCAAATAGAAAAAAGCCGGAAGTGGCGCTGTGGCTCAAGTGGTAGAGCGCTAGCCTTGAGCTGAAGAGCTGAGGGACAGCGCCCAGGCCCAGAGTTCAGGCCCCACGACCGGACCCCCCCAAAAAAATTATGACTAAAATAGTCTGTTTGGCTCATAAAAAATCAGGTGCACGTGGTTCACACCTATAATCCTAGCTAATCAGGAGGCTGAGATGGAGGATCAAAGTTCAAAGCCAGCCTGGGCACACAAATCTATGAGATACTTACTTTCAATTAACCAGCAAGCTAGAATATGTGTGGCTCAAATGATAGAGCTTCAGCTTGGAGCAAAAAAGGCAAGCAAGAGCAGGAGTGCAAAGCCCTTAGTTCAAGCCTTAGTACCGACACTACAAGAAAACTGCTTTACAAACTTCAGTGAAATTAATAGTAAGCTGGACATTTAAAAATTTTTTGTTGGGGGGCTGGGAAGGTGGCTCAGTGGTAGAGTACTTGCCTTGCACGCATGAGGCCCTGGGTTCGATTCCACAGCACCACATAAGCAAAAAGAAAAAAGCCGGAAGTGGTGCTGTGGCTCAAGTGGTAGAGCGCTAGCCTTGAGCTGAAGAGCTGAGGGACAGCGCCCAGGCCCAGAATTCAGGCCCTATGACCGGACCCAAAAAAAAAAAATTTTTTTTTTGTTTATCTTGCTGTTCTGGAACTTGGGTTTCCTTTTTTTTTTTTTTAACTGCTTAATTTGAATCCTATTATTTTCTTCCTGATATGTGCAAACTTTTTCTTTTTTTTTGGTTGGTCGTGGGGCTTGAACTCTGGGTCTGGGCGCTGTCCTTCAGCTCTCCAGCTCAAGGCTGGCCCTCTACACTTGAGCCACAGCGCCACTTTCAGTTTTCTGGTGGTGGTTTATTGGAGATAAGAATCTCACAGACTTTCCTGCCCAGGCTGGCTTTGAACCATGATCCTCAGATCTCAGCCTAGCTAGAATTACAGGTGTGAGCCACAGGTGCCCAGCATGTGCAAACTTTTAACATACTGTGTGCCTTTTTTTTGTTGTTTTGAACTGGGATCACACTTAGCTGCTCAGCCTGGGCTCAAGTAATCATCTTGCCTAGCCTCGAAAATGCTAGAACTTCAGACATTAGAACGCTGTTCCGTACTGTCAAACGCTGCTAACGTTGCCGATGAATTGGTTGAAAGCACCCACCTTTTCTTTTTTTTTTCTTTTTCTTTTTTTTTTGTCGGTTGTGGGTCTTGAACTCTGGGCCTGGGCGCTGTCCCTCAGCTCTTCAGCTCAAGGCTAGCGCTCTACCACTTGAGCCACAGCGCTGCTTCCAGCTTTTTCTGCTTATATGGTGCTGAGGAGTCGAACCCAGGGCCTCATGCATGCAAGGCAAGTGCTCTACCACTGAGCCACCTTCCCAGCCCACGCACCCATTTCTTGGGCTGGTATTCAGGGCCTCGAGCTCTTGCTTACTTTCTCACTCAGGGCTGGTGTTCGGCCATTCGAGCCACAGCTCCCCTTCCGGCCTTTTCCTGGTTAACTGGAGATGAGGCTCACGGCCCGGGGCTGGCGCCTGTCATCCCAGCTGCTCTAGAGGCTGAGATCTGGGGATGGCGGTTCGAAGCCAGCCCGGGCAGCAAAGTCCGTGAGACTCTTCTCTCCGTCTAACCAGCAAAACGCCAGAAGCGGAGGTGTGGCTCAAGTGGCAGAGCACCAGCCTTGAGCGACAAGCGCGGGGAGCGCCCGGGCCCCGGCACTCCCCCCCGCCGGCCGCGCGCTGGGCGGGAGGCGCGCGGGGAGCGGGGGCGCTCACGCCGGGCCGCCGCATCCGCGCAGGCGCGCCCCGCAGCCCCGCCTCCCAGCGGGAGACGCCGCGCCCCGACCCCTCCCAACCTCACCTCGGGGCGCCGAACCAGCGAGCGCGGAAGGCCTTTCCCAGATCGAGAGCCCGCTACCTGACCCCGGAAGGAATCGCGGCGCCACCCGGCGCGTCCTCGGTTGCCGTGGCGCCGCCCCGGAAGTGGAGCTCGCTCAGGCTGGAGCGCTGTCCCTCTGCGAGCTACCTTCCGCGAGCGCGACCCAGGGAGGGCCGGAGGCTGGGCCGGAGTCGTGTGGCTGGCGGGGCGGCCCGCAGGTGAGGCAACGCCGCCGCCATCGGCGGGGGGCGTGCGCCCGTGACGGCGAGCGCGCACGCGCGGGCCTCCGCCCCGCTCCGCCGGCCTCGCTGTCCCCGCGCCCGCTTCCTCCTCCGCCCTCCCGGTCTCGCCCTCCGGTTACAGTAATTGGTCTTTCTCTTATTACTGCTCATCCCGGGCTCTCGGATTTCTCCCGCTCGTTTGCCAGCTGTGCCGTCGCTTCGGGCATCTTTTGCGGGCGTCCCGCACCTGTTGGGAGAGCCCGGGGCGCGAGTCCGGAGCCGCCCCGCCCTGCGCGCTCTTCCCGGGGGCGGGGGGGGGGGGGGCGAGGCGGGAGGCCTCCCGCGGCTGGGGGTGTGCGGTGGGGATTGGAGGAATGGCTGGTGGAAGTGTCCCGTCCTTGGGAGCTGTTCTCCAAGCAGCTTCTTTGTGCAGACGAAGAGACCGGCCAAGAGTCAGTGGGTCGTGACTGTCACCCAGTGGGACGGGGAGAGGCACGGTGACAAGGCGGCCGGGAGCTCGCGCACCCTGTGCACCTCTGTGAAGCCATCATTTCCTGCATGCGTGCATGCACATGCACGCTCGCCAGTACTAGGGCTTGAAGCCAGGGCCTGGGTGCCATCCTTTAGCTGTTTTGCTCCAGGCTAGCCAGGGCTCTACCACTTGAACTGCAGCTCCACTTCTGGTTTTATGGTGGTTCATTGGAGATGAGCGTCTCATGGACTTTCCTGTCCTCCAGGCTGGCTTTGAACCACGATCCTCAGATCTCAGCGTCCTGAGTAGCTTAGTATGACAGGCATGAGCCACCCGCTGTGGGTTGATGCTCAGTTTTGAAAATGGCTGAACCAGTGACTTGCAATTCCAATGTGTGACCCAGAAGAAAATGATACGTCAGATTCATTGCACAGGACCCTGAACCCCACCCATTTTTCTGGTTTTGGGGAGAAGATAATAAAGCAGTCTGACATCATCCAATATTTATGTGTACTTTTCTACAGAAAAGAGCTTTGTATATTAGGATTGGGGAAGAGCCAACCTGGTTTTCCACAGTGGGAAATTTGGACTCTTGGTTCATGTACCTGTTCTAAATGCAGCTTCTTCTTTTTTGTTTTTGGTAGGTCATGGGGCTTGAACTCTGGGTCTGGGCACTGTCTCTCAGCTCTTCAGCTCAAGGCGAGTGCTCTGCCACTTGAGCCACAGCGCCACTTCTGGTTTTCAGGTGGTTCATTGGAGATAAGAGTCTCATGGACTTCCCTGCCTGGGCTGGCTTTGAACCATGATCCTCAGATCTCAGCCTCCTGAGTAGTTGGGATGACAGACATGAGCCACCACACCCCGGCTAGGTTTCTCTTATAGAGCCACTAATACCATCATCCTGACCCCTGTTCCTTAACCTCCTCCCCAAAGTCCCTCCACACACTGCTATGGAGTTGGGGATTACGTTGGTGAAACATGAACCTCTGGGGGGCACATGGAGCCTGGAGGGCTCTGTAAGGTAAGGGAGCCTCCTGGCTTTGGTGTCCTGTGGACCTTGATAACACATGCGGTGAGCGGGCCTGAAGTGGGAACAGGAGTGGGGGCTGGCGCTCGTGAGTGGAGACACACTCTCTATCCCTTCTCAGATATCCTTCAGCATCCTACATGGCAGGCAGGTCCAGTTCTGCCCCTTTCATAAAATTGTTTATCTCTTGCTTCTGTGTCACCGGTGGCATTTTGTGGCCCCTTCATCGGTGTTTCGTCTTCATTTCAGGGAGAAGCCAGAGGTGAGCGTCGGTGGAACAGAAAGAGCCTGTGCTTTCCGGTGGCTCCAGAGGGACCTATGGTCGCTGCAGCCTGGCGTGACAGGTGACAGGCCTCAGTGACAGGTAAGCGCAAGGTGACTGGGAAGAGGACCTGGGGTAGGCCTAAGGAGCTGGCCTTTTTCGCGGCTCCTTTTCCTGCGTTGTAATATGAGGATGGGAATGTGGCCGCATCGGCCATGCCGGGCTGGGGGAGCAGTCCCTGGCAGCCGGGATTGTTCCTCTCCCCTCTGCTCACACTGACACCATGCGCCGGGTGGGGCATGTGGGCACTTGGCCTCTGCGTGGGACATGAGTCTGCAGAACGTGGGGGGTCGGCTCTTGGGGTGCATTTGCTGTGGTCTCCAGGTGGTGACTGCTGATGTTTTTGTGAACTGAGTGGCATTTCTGATCACAAAAGCAGGGTGACTCTGGTTAGACTCCGTGTTACCCCATAAACTGGTCGCCTGGGTGTGCTCAGGTCGCAGGGCCCCTGGTCTGCTGCTTTTGTTGTTGTTGGTCGTGGGGCTTGAACTCTGGGCCTGGGCGCTGTCCCTCAGCTCCTCAGCTCAAGGCTAGCACTCTACCACTGAGCCACCTTCCCAGCCCCTGGTCAGCTTCCTACAGGGGCTCCTTCCCTCTGACCTTGCACTTCCCTGGGAGGGGCAGGACTGTAGAGTCTCTCCTGAGTGTTTTCTTCCAGCCAGGCCTCGTCCTCAGGGCCTCCCTGCTTGCCGACCCAGCCCTCATCCAAGCCCAACTGTACAGATGAGAACTCCTAAGTTGCTTACTCAAAGTCACACAGAGAGTGAGGGGTGCAGCCAGGCCTCAGGCCCCGGCCACGCTGCACCCCACCCCACACCTTCCTCCAGGGTGGCATCAGCCTCTCTGGCTGGGAAACGGAGATAGCTGTGTGAGGCCAGGCAGGCTGGCTCCTGTTGCATCCCTGTTGTTCCCCGGAGTGGAGCGCCTCCCTTAGAGAGACCCTCAAGCTCCTGGAGTCCCTGGTAAACAAGCCCATCCTCTTCAGATGAGATCAGACAGGGGAGAATAAAGAACACAGCCATCCCTGTGGAAGCCAGGCAGAGCCTGGCACTGGAAAATCAGGCTTTTTCAAGGGAAAAAAGGTTCAAAGAGGAAAAAAGGTCGCGACACAGATGCAAAGAGGTTGGCCACCTATCTGAGAGACACACGGTCGAACTGACAGTCTGTAGCTGTCTTCTGTCGATTTGTCTGAACTGAGCAGCTACCACCAGCCAAGCACAGAGCTGGACCCAGGCGGACATCAGCAAAGATGGAAGCCAGCTCCCTGGTCTCCATCGCAACAGGACTGTGGATGCCCACGGTCCAAGTGCCTGGTGTGGAGGGTCACAGGTCCACAGCCTCTGCCTCATCTGTGCTGGCACATGAGCAGTTCAGCCTGGCAAAGCAAGGAAAGGATGCACAGCATGTGCCAAGGTCCCGAGGTGGCAGAGAGCACGGGCAGTAAGAGCCGAGGGGGCACGGGAGAAGAAATGACAGATGTATCTGGAGAAGCAGCATGGGGGGACCACAGTGCTTGTTCTGTGAGAGGAATAAGTTAGATCCACGTGGAAGATCACCCTGTAGTCACCGATCATGGTTGGCATGAGCAAGAGGTAAGGCGATGAGAGGAGGGCACGCGGGCAGACGGGGCTGGAGCTCAAGGCTCTGGTCCCCAGCCTGTCCCCTGCCCACTCGGAGCTGGGTCTGTCCTGCTTCTAGCCTCATCACCCCACATTCTCCTGGGATGTTTGTGGGCATCTCTTGACCAGAGTCCTCAGCCCTGCACAGCTGACGTTCGGAGCAGGAGGATTTGTGGCAGGGTGCACATGCGCAGTGGAGCATGATGGGCAGTGTCCTGGCCTCATACCCTGGAAGCCAGGAGCACCGCTCCCCACTAGGACACCCCTAGACACTGCCAGGGCCCCGGGTGTAGTAGCACTAGGTGGAAGCCGCTGCCGGCATGGCGTGCACAGGGGCTGGGCCCGTGCTGGCCTTGTGTGTCGGGACTGAAGGGAAGTGGGCTGTAGAGCTGTCGGCATGCAGAGCCTCATCTCTCGCAGGACCATGGCAGGCCGAGTGAAGTGGGTCACTGACATCGAGAAGTCCGTGCTGATCAACAACTTTGAGAAGAGAGGATGGATCCAAGTGACCGAAAACGAGGACTGGAACTTCTACTGGTAAGCTGCCTGTGTTTCTGAGCCCCAGGAGTACAGCCCCGTGAAGGGCCAGGCTCTCAGAGAGGGTGGCTTTGTGCCTCGTCCAGGTGTGGTCATCCCTTCTTCATCCTGGCTGCTTCCTGTTCGTGCCAAGTCCAAAGTGTTACAGCCCAACAAGTGGGTTGGGGCCCAACACACCCACCCCCGGGGCAGCATCTGGAAGGATGCGGAAGGACGCTGAAGGATGCTGGGAGGAGTTTGTGCTCCTCTTGCTTTTCTCCCATAAACCAGCCACAAGCACCAACAGAAACTTGCATCTGGTAGGAAAAGAAATCAGTACTAGCCAGGCACCAGTGGCTCATGCCTGTAATCCTAGCTCCTCAGGAGGCTGAGATCTGAGGATCGCAGTTTGCAGCCAGCCTGGCATGAAAGAGACTTTTTTTTTTAGTCTTGGAACTTGAACTCAGGACCTGGGCACAGCCCCTGAGTTCTTTTGCACGAGGCTGGCGCTGTACCACTTTGAGCCACAGTGCCTCTTCTGGTTTTTGAGTGGTTAATTAGAGATAAGAGTCTCACTGGGACTTTTCTGTCAGGGTTGGCTTTAAGCCACTATCCTCAACCTTCTCAGTAGCTAGGATTACAGGCATAAGCAATGCTCCCTGTTGATTCTTTTCATGATGCTAAGAACCTTCTGACAGTGAGGATGTTGCCTGACTTCTCATCTGGCTGGAACTTTGTTTGAATGTGGCTACTAGAAACTTTACAGTTGCACAGGTGGCTCTTTGGTAGCTCATGTTTTATTTCTGTTGAGCAGTGCTGCCCTGTGCGGAACTTACTTATCACCGGTGACTCCAAAAACAGACCCCAGGCCGTGTGGCTGAAGCTTTACCCCAAATCTCCCTGAACTCAAAAATCCTCCTTGAGGCTGACAGCAGCTGGGGAGGACTTGGGGAGGGAAAAGAAAGAGGAGAGGGAGGGGCTGGGAAGGTAGCTCAGTGGTAGACTGCTTGCCTTGCGTGTATGGGGCCCTGGGTTCAATTCCTCAGCACCACATAAGCAGAAAAAGCCGGAAGTGGCGCTGTGGTTCAAGTGGTAGAGCGCTTGCCTTGAGCTGAATTGCTGAGGGACAGCACCCAGGCCCAGAGTTGAGCTGAAGAGCTGAGGGACAGCGCCCAGGCCCAGAGTTCAGGCCCCATAACCGACAAAAAAAAAAAAAAAAGAGGAGAGGGAGAACGCATGCATGAAGAGGGGCGAGCCTTCACCATGCAGGCTGCAAAAAGATTTGCCAGATAATTAGGGAAACTTGAACACTGAGTGAAAGTGACAGCTCCCAAGGAGCACTTGTAGCTTTGTGGTGGTTAATGGGAAATGGAGTCTTGTAAGAATGACTGCTCCCTCACCTGTGATACCAGTGAGACAGGCGATGGCTGAATGTGAGGGGATCTTGCATAGACGCTTTGGGTGCGCTGGCGCGGTCTGGGGTGTGCTGGGGAGCACAGGGTGAGGTCGCCGCTCCTATAGAAACTGCGTCTGTGGATTCTGTGAGTCCTGAGATTTTTCTCACTTTCCCACACTACCAAGTGGGGAGAGTTTCTGACTCTCACTGGCCTGAAATCAGGACAAGCCTGGTGTTCCTCGGGCAGCTCTGTCGCTTGGCTCAGTGCTGGGACAGAGCTGAGGGCGACCTGGCCCACTGAGTGAGAGGCCTTTTTGTGATTCTGTGGTACTGAGGCTTGACCTCAGGGCCTTGCACTCTTGCTTGTTTTTTGTTGTTGTTGGTGGTGGTGGTGGTCATGGGGGCTAAACTCTGGTCCTAGGCGATGTCCCTCAGCTCTTCAGCTCAAGGCTACCACCCTACCACTTAAGCCACAGCACTACTTCTGGCTTTTTTCTGCATATGTGGTGCTGAGGAATCGAGCCCAGGGCCTCATGCATGCAAGGCAAGCACTGTACTGCTTCCCAGCCCTTGCTTGGCTTTTTTGTACAAGGCTGGTGCTCTCCTAGTTGAACCACAGTTCCACTTCTAGCTTTTTGGTGGTTAATTGGAGATAGAGTCTTAAGGACTTTCCTGCCAGAGCTGGCTTTGAACTGTGATCCTCAGATCTCAGCCTCCTGAATAGGTAGGATTACAGGTGTGAGCCATAGCTGCCCAGCTCCAAGCTTCTTTGTTTTGCAAATCAGCAGCCCCTTTTCTGTTGTTGGCCCTCCCTTCATATGTTTTTCCTGTTCCTATGGGGGCATTGGGGACTGAGGTGGGTCGGGACAGTGGATCCATTTCCAGTCTGGGTGGTAGCCCAGTGGTAGAGCAAGTACGTACCTGGCATGTGCAATCCTCAACACTGCAAAAAATAATAAAATAAGGGACCTGGTGTGGTGGCTCACCCCTGTAATCCCAGCTACTTGTGAGGTGACTGTTAGGAGGATGGTAGTTTGAGATCAGCCATCAAAACTGCATGTCAACCAACAAGCCAGGCATGATAGTCCTAGCTACAGGGAGACATAACGAGGAGGATCACAGTCCCAGGCTGGCCTTTGGGCAAAAAGTGAGAAATAACCAAAGAAAAAGAGCCCAAGCCAGCACCGGGGGCTTACGCCTGTCATGCCGGCTACTCAGGAGGCTGAGAGCCACGGATTGCAGTACAAAGCTGGCAGGAAAGCCTGTGAGACTTATCTCCAATGAACCACATAAAGAGCTGCAAGTGGAGCTGCGGCTCAAGTGGTAGAGTACTGGCATTGAGCACAGAAGCTCAGGGACAGGCCTGAACTCATGTCCCAGGACCAGTGCAAAAACAAAATAGAGGGGCTGGGAAGGTGGCTTAGTGGTAGAGCGCTTGCCTTGCATGCATGAGGCCCTGGGTTTGATTCCTCAGCACCACATAAGCAAAAAGAAAAAAGCCAGAAGTAGTGCTGTGGCTCAAGTGGTAGAGCGCTAGCCTTGAGTTGAAGAGCTGAGGGACAGCGTCCAGGCCCAGAGTTTAGGCCCCACGACCGGACAAAAAAAAGAAAAAAAGAAAAGAAAAGAAAAAAAACAAAATAGAAAAACTGGGTCCTGCCCGTATAGTGAGGTCCCAGCAACCCCCATGGGCCCACAGCCCAGGGCTGGGGCAGGTAATGGTGTGGGCGCGTGGAAGGGGGGGTTCTGAGGAGACCACGAAGATAGGGACTTGTGCCTCATCCCCTGTGCTTCACTGTCAGGATGAGCGTGCAGACCATCCGGAACGTGTTTAGCGTGGAAACGGGGTACCGGCTATCGGACGATCAGATCGTCAACCACTTTCCCAACCACTATGAGCTGACCCGCAAGGACCTGATGGTGAAGAACATCAAGAGATACCGCAAGGAGCTGGAAAAGGAGGGCAGCCCCCTGGCCGAGAAGGATGAGAATGGCAAATACCTCTACCTGGGTTTGTGCCTTCCCTGGGGCCTTAGGCGGAAGGTGCCCAGATGGCGCCTGTGTGCCAGGCGGTTGGGCTGGGTGGGGCGTGTGGCACCTGTGTATCATCAGGTGCATCCAGCAGGGTGGGCAGGGCCGCCAGATCGGTGTGGCAGCTGAGTGTGTATGGCACCTGAGTGTGAGCATCTTGGAGTTGCGTGGAGATGAGCAGGGGGTGCTCGGTGCCCAGGACCCTGAGCCACTCCAGGAAGCACCCTGTCCCTGGCATCTCCCAGCTCTGGTCTCCATTCAGCATCTGTCCGGTGGGAGCCATGCCGGCCTGGCTCCCGGGTCCCCATGGGGACTGACCTATGCATGGGGAGAGTTCAGAGACCAGGGCTCAGTGGAGTAAAGTAGGATCTACAGCAGACTTATTACCATAGCTGCTGGGCCGGGTGAGAAGTGATGATAAGCAAAATCACTCTCCTCCTCTTCCTCCTCTTCCTCCTCCTCCTCCTCCTCCTCCTTGTGTGCTGGTGCTGCATCTGAACTCACACTTTTTTTTTTGGTCATTCATGGGGCCTGAACTCTGGGCCTGCACTCACAGATCTTCAGCTCAAGGCTAACACTCTACTACATGAGCCCCAGCACCACTTCTGGCTTTTTCTGCTTAAGTGGTACTGAGGAATCGAACCCAGGGCCTCATGTGTGCAAGGCAAGCATTCTACCACTGAGCCACCTTCCCAGCCAGGGCCTCACACTCTTGCTTGGCTTTTCACTCAATGCTAGCACTCTACTACTTGAGCCAGCACAGCTCCCCTTTCAGCTTTTTTTCTGGTTGATTAGAGATAAGAGTCTCTCATATTTTCATCCCCAGGCTGGTCTTGAACTCCAATCCTCAATCTCAGCTTCCCGAGTAGCTAGGATGACAGGCGTGAGCCACCAGCACTGGGCATTTTCTCTTCTTGGCCATCACTGAGTGATTCCTTACCAGCATGGGGCGTGTCTGCCTTTCAGACTTTGTGCCCGTCACCTTTATGCTGCCGGCCGACTACAACCTGTTTGTGGAGGAGTTCAGGAAGAGCCCATCCAGCACCTGGATCATGAAACCTTGTGGCAAAGCCCAGGGCAAAGGCATCTTTCTCATTAACAAGCTGTCGCAGATCAAGAAGTGGTCCCGGGACAGCAAGACATCCTCGTGAGTCCACAGACCCCATCCTGCCCACCTGGCTCCTGTGCCATCTGGACAGTGAGCTCAACACACACAGCTCTAATTCCTGTCAAGGCTTCTTACCCAGCAGGCCTTCGCTGTATGCTTTGCGATCTCACGGCTGCTTTCCCTAATGTGTACAGGTTTGTGTCTCAGTCCACAAAGGAAGCCTATGTGATCTCACTCTACATCAACAACCCGCTGCTCATCGGTGGCCGGAAGTTTGACCTGCGCTTGTATGTCCTGGTGTCCACGTACCGCCCACTGCGCTGCTACATGTAAGCGCCCATGGCCGCGCCTCTCTTCTCATCCTCATTTTCTGGAGGCTTAATGACTTAGCGAAGCAGGGCATGCACAGGGCCTGCACGGGGTGGGTGTTGGGGAAAGGAGAGCAGTTAGCCTGGACGGACATGTCAATCTATTTTTTTTTTCCTTTTCTTTCTTTTTATTTTGTCAGTAGTGAGGCTTGAACTCTGGGCCTGGGCACTGTCCCTGAGCTCTTTTGCTCAAGGCTAGTGCTCTACCACTTTGAGCCACAGTGCCACTTCCGATTTTCTGGTGGTTTATTGGAGATAAGAGTCTCAGGGACTTTCCTGCCCTGTCTGGCTTTGGACCATGATCCTCAGATCTCAGCCTCCCCAGCAGGTAGGATTACAGACATGAGCCACCGGCGCCCAGCTAAATATCAATCTTGTGAGAATGTCAGGCATGGTGGTGCACACCCATAGGCCCAGCACGTGGGAGGTAGAGACAGGAAGATTGTGAGTTTGAGGTCCATCTGGGCCATATAGTGAGACCTAGTGTTGAATATACAAAAGTAAAAGCTTCTAAAGATACGTGTTTAAAGAACGAAGGGGAAGATTTCCTTGTGTATCATTTGAATCCCTGTGAATTTCCCCTAGGTATAAGCTTGGGTTCTGCCGGTTTTGCACAGTGAAGTACACCCCGAGCACCAGCGAGCTGGACAACATGTTCGTCCACCTCACCAATGTAGCCATCCAGAAGCACGGGGTGAGTGGCTTCGCCCGAGTGCGTAGAAGCGTCCAGCTGGCTTGCCTTCCTGTTTTACAAGAGGATGGGTAGATAGGGACCACATTCAAGCCAGGCACAGAAGGGGCTGGAGCACAGGGCAGCAGGTGTTGCCAGGTACCTGCTTGGGGTATAGGGGGAGGAGTAGGGTGGGGACTCCCGGAGAAGGAAGGTTCCAGCCCCACCTTTCTAGCATTGTCACTTGGGCAAGGCATAGTGCTTGAGCCTGGCTCTGTATTAGTGAACAGAGAGAATCACATTGCAGATACCCCTTGACCTCCAGTGGGGTCATGGCCCCCTAAACCCATCTCAAGTCAAGCTGGGCACTGGTGGCTCACGCCTGTAATCCTAGCTATTCAGGAGGCTGAGATCTGAGGATCCCAGTTCAGTTCCATCCTGGGCAGGAAAGTATGAGACTCTTATCTCCAATTAGGTAGCAAAGAGCTGGAAATAGAGTTGTGGTTCAAGTGGTAGAGTACCATCCTTGAGCAAGGACATCCTCCTCAAAGACAACACACAGGTCCTGTATTCAAGCCCCAGTGGCAATACACACACACACACACACACACACACACAAGATATAGTGTAGTGTAAGTCAAAAATGTGTTCAACATACACACACACACAGAAGAAATAATCTAAGTCAAAAACATGCCCAAGCTGGATGCCGATGGCTCACACCTGTAATCCTAGCTACTCAGGAGGCTGAGATCTGAGGATCATGGTTCAAAGCCGGCCCAGGCAGGAAAGTCCCTGAGACTCGTATCTCCAATGAACCACCAGAAAACCGGCAGTGGCACTGTGGCTCAAAGTGGTAAAGGCCAAGAGCCTCCGTGCTGTGACTGGCTGGGCGGAACACAGCCTGTGGAACTCCAGTAGTAAGCAACAGGCCTCCCCAGGACAGGGGTCCCAGGCCTCTGCCAGCACCCAGAGAAGTGGGAGTGGGGGGGGACAGAGCGGGTGGCTGATGCCTGGGCGGGGGCCTCTCTTCTCCAGGAGGATTACAACCACATCCATGGGGGCAAGTGGACAGTGAGCAACCTGCGCCTGTACCTGGAGAGCACGCGCGGCAGGGAGGTGACGAGCAAGCTGTTCGATGAGATCCACTGGATCATCGTGCAGTCCCTCAAGGCCGTGGCGGTGAGTGCTGTGCCCTGTGCCCTGTGCGGCCGTGGGGGGCTGTGCGCGGCTGGCCGCTGGCTTTCTGGGACTGTTTAGGAGCTGGGGATGCGCCCGTTCTCTAGTGACAATCTCCATTTTCACGTTCTCCCTGCCGGCATCCGCCAGGGGATCAAGGGTTTTAGGAAGGGGTTGAAGACAGGTCCAGCCGGGCACCTCGCAGTAAGCTGTGGTGTTACCAAACCCCTGAGACACTGGTGACGTGATAATGGGGAGCAGTAGAGCAAAGGCGTCCATGTGGAGAGGCCTGGAGTAAATCGCAGCAGAGCTGGACACCCCCTCCCCCCGCACCCTGTGACTGCTACTCAGCGCAGATACAGGAAGCTTTAATGGAACAAGAAACCTAGATTAGGACGCCAACATATCCCACAACTAACTTCACGAGGACCTGGGAAGGTAAGGTGGCCCAGAGGTTGCCTGCTGTCCATGGCTTTCTCTGCATCGCTGCTGTGGCAGGCTGGAAAGCTCAGGGAGCTGGCGTGACCAAAGGCAGAAAGGGAGAGACATCACCATCCCCCACCCAGGTCCTGGCCCATGCTTTCCGAAAATAGGTTAATTTACTGATCAGAAAGAACTAGATAGCCGGGCCCAGTGGTTCATACCTGTAATCCTAGCTACTCAGGAGGCTGAGATCTGAGGATTATGGTTCAAAGCCAGCTCGGGCAGGAAAGTCTGTGAGACGCTTACATCTAATTAATCACCAGAAAACTGGAAGTGGCCCTGTAGCTCAAAGTGGTAGAGCACTAGCCTTGAGCTGAAGAGCTCAGGGACAGCGCCCAGGCCCAGAGTTTAAGCCCCAAGACTGACAAAAGAAAAAAGAAAGAACTGGATGCTGCTAATTTAACAGCACATGTAGAGGTGTAATCTTTATTGTTATTATTTTTATTTTTTTGTGCCAGTGCTACATCTTGAACTGAGCACCAGGGTCCTGTCTGTGAACTTTTTGGCTCAAGGCTAGCACTCTACCACTTGAGACACAATGCCACTTCTGGCTTTTTGGGGTACTTAATTGGAGGTAAGAGTCTCACAGACTTTGTTGCCCAGGCTGGCTTCCAACCTTGATCCTCACATCTCAGCCTCCTTAGTAGCTAGGATTACAGGTGTGAGGCACCGGCTCTCACTCAGTTCTTGAGTATTTTGCATATGCTTAGTTGCCTGGTTTTGACCAAGTGTGTTGCCTTCAGAGAAGCTAGGGTGGAGGCAGACGCGGAACAGGTGTGTAGAGGGGCCTGTGTGGGGAGTGGAGTGGGCTCTGGACCACCTGGGAGGCCCTGGATCCAGAACATGGGACAGAGAAACTGGGGGCCACGGCTCAGGGGAGGGGCAGAATGCTTAGCCGGAGAGCCAGCTGCGCCACGTGAGGCAGTTTAGCAACTTGCTGCTCTGCCCAGCTTTTCTGGGACAGAACCTGAGCACTAGCAGGTGTAGACTCCAGGCTTTCGGTGGAAATGCAATCCCTCTGAGTTCCAGGAGGAAACTGTCCAACTCAGGAGGGAAGCGCAGCCCAGCCTGGGTCCCCCTGAGAACTACCACTTGAGGTAACGTGGTCTAGCGCCCATTGAGGGGTAAAGAGCCTTACTGTCTGAGTAGAGCTCACTGATTCGGGGTGCAGGAGTCCCTGGGAGGTAAAACTACTGAGGGTTCAGATCCAGGGAGGCTGGGGAGGCTGGAGGGCAGCGGGTGAGGGGGGGGCAGGAATCTGCACTGCCAGCAGGTGATAGAAAAATATTTAAAGTATATTTGGGTGAAATGAAATTGTAAATTACAGAGGAAATTCAGTAACTCTAAACAAACTAAGTTTTATCAAGAGTTTATTTTAGTATAGCAAGATGAAACAGGGAGAATTTAGAGGGGAGGAGAAGTAGAGAAACACTTCTGCTTCTTGTGCAGAAAATGGGAGTTAAAATGGTGGTTTCCGTCTGCAGTCATTCTACATCCTGAGCTGGGTGAAGACACATAGTTATGCATCCAGCAACTCCTAACCTAACAGCGTTTTGGGGTGAGTAAGACAGGTGCAGACCACCCAAAACACAAATAACCTTGAAGCTTTTTTTTTTTTTTTTTTGGGGTGCCAGTCCTGGGGCTAGAACTCAGGGCCTGGGCGCTGTCTGTGAGCTCTCTTTGATCAAGGCTAGCATTCTGCCACTTGAGCCACAGCTCCACTTTTGGCTTTTTGGTAGTTAAAAGAGTGTAGTGGAGGTGCTGGGAAGGTGGCTCAGTGGTAGAGCACTTGCCTTGCATGCACGAGACCCTGGATTCGATTCCTCAGCACCACATAAGCAAAAAGAAAAAAGCCGGAAGTGGTGCTGTGGCTCGATGGTAGAGTGCTAGCCTTGAGCTGAAGAGTTGAGCGACAGGGCCCAGGCCCAGAGTTCAGGCCCCACAACCGGGCCCCCCCGCCCCCCCGCAAAAAAAAAAAAAAAAAGAGTGTAGTGGATTTTCCTGCCCAGGCTGGCTTTGAACTGTGACCCTCAGATCTCAGCTTGCTGAGTAGCTAGGATTCCAGGTGTGAGCCACCACGTGCCCAGCTGAGGCCTTTATTTTTCCACATGCGCCTTTCCTTTCTGTCTCTCACCCATTCAGGAAGAGTTTGCAGCTTCTTACCTTTTCAAAAGAGAACACCGATTTAGACCTCCCTTACATGCCTGCCGTTGTCACATGTCGAAGTAGGTGTGGTGTCACTTGTTTAACTGTGGTTCGCGCTTATTTCTAGTTCTGATGTCAGAGTCTAGCCCTTCTGATACTTGCTAAATATCATTTAATTTCCCTGCCTCCTCATCTATCCACCCTGCTTCATATCCCCCGGTGACTTTGGTCCCTTGCTGGTGGAGGGTCCATGATCCATTTCTGTAGCAGCGTCATGCTCAGCCGACCCATGCTCTACATGGGAAAGGGAGACCACAGGTCGCTTTCCTACCTGACTCAGGTGACAGGGTTTGGTTGACAGGAAATTCAGTTGGCAAGTTGCTTCAGTCGGGACCAGAAGACATTTAAGAAATCTGGAATTTCCAGGGCTTGGGCAGATACTAGTGAATCTTCAAGCTTTGAGAGGCTTTTCATTGTTTTTCAGTTTGCTGTCGGTGTTTACAGTCAGGCCCCAGGATGCTTTATAAAGGGGCTTTGCTATTACCCTGAAATGTTTTGGCAAGGACTTATTCAGTATGACAGGAAAAAGTATGGAAAAAAGTGAGGAAAAGAGGGAAACATTTCCTGTTTGCCAAGCAGGAAGCGGGAGCTAAAGATTCCATAAGCAGATGAATTTTTCATCACTGGAAACAGGTTTGTAAAGTGTCACTGGGGTCCCAGAGGGGTGGTCAGCAGTCTGGAGGACAGTGTGTGTGTGTGCGCGCGCACTGCCTCTGCGCTTGGAGCTGCATCGTGCCCCCTGAGGTCCTTGTCACATTGTTAGGGACAAGCAGGTTTTGGCTGCTTCAGGCTTGGTGGGTGGGGCCTGCTGGTCTCCAGGGAGCTGACCTTTGACACTGCCATGTAACCCACTGGTCACTCTCTCTTCAGCCGGTGATGAACAACGACAAGCACTGCTTCGAATGCTACGGCTACGACATCATCATTGACGACAAGCTGAAGCCCTGGCTGATCGAGGTGACTGCACTCTGCCCCGCACACCACCCGCCGCTCCCCTTGCCTCCACCACAGCCCAGCGCGCAGCCTGGCGCAGGCCCAACAGGAGGCAGGCACAGATGCTCAGGCGTGGCCATGTGTGCGTGGTGGAGATCCATGTGCTCCCGATCCCTCATCTCCTGCGGGCCCAGCCACCAGGAGGGCCTGCGGTCCAGCTCCGGATGAGTTCGGTGGCTCAGGTGCCCTGGCTTGCAGGGCTTCCAGTCCTTGTGGGGACTTGGTTCCCATCTGTAACAAAGCTCACAGCCTCTGATGTCCTGGGCGGTGGCAGCAGCATGCTTATTCTTCAGCCCGTGGGAAGACATAGCTCGGCCTGCATCAGGGACTAGTCAGGGCATCGTGGTGACTGTGCCAGAAGGGGCAAGGTGTACACCTACTGTGTGCCTGGGCCTTTGCTGGCAGCCACGCTGGCAGGCATTGCACACCCGTCTGTGGTTCACACTTCAGTCCACCTGGCCAAGTGCTCTGCAGGTGAGCCAAAGCCACGCAGAGGAAACGCAGGCCCCAAGCGCTCAGGGTTGGCATGACTGTGAGAATGAAGAAACCCACTTCTGCAGGCTCGTCACCCTGTCATTGCTCTGAACGCGTGTCTTCTCACCAAGCTCATGTGGATCTGGACAGCTCAGGGCCTGCTGTCCCTTTCCAAGCCAGGAAGCCGTGCAGGATGCTGGGAGAGCCAGCTGTCAGTCAGCAGGCTGTGTCCTGGCAGTGTCTCCATGCTGGCAGTCAGCAGGCTGTGTCCTGGTGGTGGTGGTGTCTCCATGCTGTCAGTCAGCAGGCTGGGCCCTGGCGGTGTCTCCATGCTGTCAGTCAGCAGGCTGTGTCTTGGCGGTGTCTCCATGCTGTCAGTCAGCAGGCTGGGTCCTGGTGGTGGCGGTGTCTCCATGCTGTCAGTCAGCAGGCTGTGTCCTGGCGGTGGTGGTGTCTCCATGCTGTCAGTCAGCAGGCTGGGTCCTGGTGGTGGCAGTGTCTCCATGCTGTCAGTCAGCAGGCTGTGTCCTGGCGGTGTCTCCATGCTGTCAGTCAGCAGGCTGTGTCCTGGTGGTGGCGGTGTCTCCATGCTGTCAGTCAGCAGGCTGTGTCCTGGCGGTGTCTCCATGCTGTCAGTCAGCAGGCTGTGTCCTGGTGGTGGTGGTGTCTCCATGCTGTCAGTCAGCAGGCTGTGTCCTGGTGGTGGTGGTGTCTCCATGCTGTCAGTCAGCAGGCTGTGTCCAGGCAGTGTCTCCATGCTGTCAGTCAGCAGGCTGTGTCCTGGTGGTGTCTCCATGCTGTCAGTCAGCAGGCTGTGTCCTGGCGGTGTCTCCATGCTGTCAGTCAGCAGGCTGTGTCCTGGCGGTGTCTCCATGCTGTCAGTCAGCAGGCTGTGTCCTGGTCCTGGCGGTGTCTCCATGCTGTCAGTCAGCAGGCTGTGTCCTGGTGGTGTCTCCATGCTGTCAGTCAGCAGGCTGTGTCCTGGTGGTGTCTCCATGCTGTCAGCAGGCTGTGTCCTGGCGGTGTCTCCATGCTGTCAGTCAGCAGGCTGTGTCCTGGCTGTGTCTCCATGCTGTCAGTCAGCAGGCTGTGTCCTGGCGGTGTCTCCATGCTGTCAGTCAGCAGGTGCGGCGAACCCCTTCTCGGCCAGCGAGGAAGAACGACCACCACACCAGGAGTCTTCTCAGATCACACTTTATTGGAGAGCCTTTTAGTTGAAGGGAGAGCTTGAGCGCAAGAGAGCGAGCAAGGAAATGCAGCCGCTTATATAGGGTTTGGAACACGGGTCGCTTCAGGATTGGCTGTCCGCCTTCTACCGTCACCAGGTGCCACGGGATTGGCTCAGGATTCATAATGATGGCGCGTGCGCACAGCTGGGGACTCGCAGCCCCGCCAAGCACTTGCCTAATATGGAGTTGTTTACTTCTAGGCTGAAAGGAAGCGGGCGCCATCTTGTAATGGCGTTTGTCCCGGCTCCCTGCAAGCAGGCTGTGTCCTGGTGGTGTCTCCATGCTGTCAGTCAGCAGGCTGTGTCCTGGTGGTGGTGGTGTCTCCATGCTGTCAGTCAGCAGGCTGTGTCCTGGCTGTGTCTCCATGCTGTCAGTCAGCAGGCTGTGTCCTGGTGGTGGTGGTGTCTCCATGCTGTCAGTCAGCAGGCTGTGTCCTGGTGGTGGTGGTGTCTCCATGCTGTCAGTCAGCAGGCTGGGCCCTGGCAGTGTCTCCATGCTGTCAGTCAGCAGGCTGGGTCCTGGTGGTGGTGGTGGTGTCTCCATGCTGTCAGTCAGCAGGCTGTGTCCTGGTGGTGGTGGTGGTGTCTCCATGCTGTCAGTCAGCAGGCTGTGTCCTGGTGGTGGTGGTGTCTCCATGCTGTCAGTCAGCAGGCTGTGTCCTGGTGGTGGTGGTGTCTCCATGCTGTCAGTCAGCAGGCTGTGTCCTGGCTGTGTCTCCATGCTGTCAGTCAGCAGGCTGTGTCCTGGTGGTGGTGGTGTCTCCATGCTGTCAGTCAGCAGGCTGTGTCCTGGTGGTGGTGGTGTCTCTATGCTGTCAGTCAGCAGGCTGGGCCCTGGCAGTGTCTCCATGCTGTCAGTCAGCAGGCTGGGTCCTGGCGGTGTCTCCAGGCACTTGTTACACTGTCAAGCTGGCTGGGCACAGAGTAGATAAAAAATATTTGTGTTTTCTCTTCTTGCATCTTAAGTAGAATGATTTGAATTGTTCTTAAGCTTTCTTTGGTGACCTAGGATCCTAGCAGTGAGGGCCTGGGTACTATTCCTAAGCTTTTGTGCTCAAGGCTAGTTCTCTTATCCCTTGAGCCACAGCTCCAATTCCAGCTTTATCTTTATTTTTATTTTTTGTGGTTAATTGGAGATAAAAATTTCTCAGACTTTCCTACCTGGGCTGGCTTTGAACCATCATCCTCAGATCTCAGCCTCCTGAGTAATGAGGATTACAGGTGTGCGCCACCAGTGCCCCGTCCATTATTTCTTTTTTGGGGGGAGAGAGGGGTCCGGTCGTGGGCCTGAACTCTGGGCCTGGGTGCTGTCCCTCAGCTCTTCAGCTCAAGGCTAGCGCTCTACCACTTGAGCCACAGCGCCACTTCCAGTTTTTTTCTTTTTGCTTATGTGGTGCTGAGGAATCAAGCCCAGGGCCTCAGGCATGCAAGGCAAGCGCTCTACCACTGAGTCACCTTCCCAGCCCCCAGACCATTATTTCTAATGTGGTCATAACTCTCCATGTTCACATAGTCCCAGTAAGAATTTTGGCACTGTGGAATACGAGAGTGGTGTTAAGGGATCCTCTGCTCGCACACACAGAGGCATCTAACTGGGAGAAACCTGAGCAGTTCATAGATCTGCTGTCTCTGATCTCTCATGGCCTGCAGCAGCTGACCAAGAGCATTAGAGCTGTGTCTGTGTTTGGCCACATGTGGCCGGCATTGCTCAGACATTCAGAGGCCTTCCGGCCCCACCTCTCCGTGTGTTGGCTGCCTTGGTTGGATTGGAGCCTGCTGCACTGGGGAGGTTTGAATCTTCTCACAAGACATAGCCCTTTACCTTTCCAGCAAGCCTCCCGCTGCCGCGTGATCAGGGTCACCAGAGTCCTTAGGACAGAGCTGACACGCACAACACAAATTATGTTTGTGATGAACGCTGACTCATAATGCGTGAGACCCTAGTCCTGATCAGGTCTTTAAAAATTGACATTTCAACTAAGAACTAATAAAAGTAACCCAAAGTGCTTCCCATGCAAGGTGCTTGCGTCAACAATGGCAGCTTCTTGCCCGTGACGCTCCTGGCAGCCCACGTTCCCCCCCCAGAGCGCATATCCGCCTCGCAGAGTCAGCCAGGGTGAAAAGTGTGTTTTTTTCTCTCGCAGGTTAATGCATCCCCGTCTCTCACCTCCAGCACCGCCAATGATCGAATCCTCAAGTACAACCTGATTAATGACACTCTCAACATCGCAGTCCCCAACGGTGAGATCCCAGACTGCAAGTGGAACAAGTCCCCCCCGAAGGAGGTGCTTGGCAATTATGAGATTCTGTAAGTCTGCAGGGGTCCCGTGCTTCAGGCTGAGGCACGAGGGTTCTCTTGGTGTGTGGACTCGCTTAGGCAGTGTTTCACTCCGTGATGAGTCTACACACAATGCCCTGGTAGCAGGAAAGTGTTCTGGAGCTCAACCAGACCTGCTCTGCTTAGTAACTGTTTAAGAAGCACTGGTCACATCCCCATGCCTAAAGGCTGCTGGGACAGCATGGGGTGGGAGCCAGGCACTGCTGGCTCACGCCTGTAATCCTAGCCACTCAGGAGGCTGAGATCTGAGGATCATGGTTCGAAGCCAGCCCAGATAGGAAAGTTTGCAAGACTCCTCTCTCCAGTTAATCACCAAAAACCCGGAAACAGGCTTTGGTTTGAGCAAATAAGCCAAGGGACACCACCCAAGCCCTAAGCTCAAGCAGACTGCCCTCCATAGGCCTCAGCCGTAAAGCTCTGAATTAAGACTGAAAGCCTGGTGTTAACCCTGTGTCCTCCGCATCTCAGCTCTGTCAGGGTTGCGGGGAGATCACTGTGGGCAAAGAATGCTCCTTCGCCAAGCCTACCCCAAGTGACCTCTCACTGTCCTCAGGACCTGGGGGGAAGGGGGAGATGTCCTGCAGTGGGAGATATGACAGACAGACAGGGCTCTGTGGCTCCAGTCCAGCGAAGCCCAGGCTGTGTCTGCGTCCACTGCCTTGTGGATCCCCAGCTCGGACCCCGGCCTCAGTCTGCAGGATCAGTCACATGACTCATGTGCAGGGCACTGGCACACATCTCCCCAGGGGCTGGGGGATGTGGTTAGTTTGCTACTCACTGCTGCCTTGTCTGTGTTTTCTTCGGGGTCACTGCCAGGCACTGTGCCATCCACAGAGCCGTTTGCTTAAGTGGCTGGGCCAGGCTGCTTCCTGGTGCCGTGCTTGAGACTGTCTGTGTGCAGGTACGACGAGGAGTTGGCCCAGGGTGATGGGACCGCTGACCGAGAGCTCAGAAGCCGCCAGGGCCAGCCCCAGGGGCCCAAAGGGAGCCGTTTGAGAGACTCAAGGACCATCCTCAACACGTGGAAGTGATCACCAGCCCAGCCCTTCCAGAACTGCTCATTCAGCCGGGCCGGCCCTGCTGGAGGCCTATTTTGAAGCTTCCTTTTTCTAGAATGCTTCTCCTTTCCTGAGCCCTGTAAATAATTATTTAATAAAGGCACTTCCGTGGAGGGCCAAGGAGTTCGCTCCTCTGGGAGGTGTGTGGCACCCTGACACAGCCACGCTGGAGCCGGTGACGTCACAGCCCCAGGCCGGCACAGTTCTTAAATTTGGCACTAAACTTAACAGGTCCCAAAACGTGATCTGCTTTCCTGACAGAGACTGACCCTGCAGGGTAAAGCAACAAATTTAATCTGGTGGAAGCGCTCTGCACCTGATTCTGGAGAAATCGGGCATTTGTCTGCAGAAGTCTCCTGTGCAGTGCTCCCGGGAAGCCTGTCCTGTCACAAGGGTTTGGGACGAGGCTCGCACAGGTGAGCACAGACAGGTGCTGCCCGTGGCATCTGCAGCACCAGCGTCTGGCTTTGTCACCGTGGTTGGCAGCTGTCAGTGGGGACTGGACTTCTGTGTGTGTGTGTGTGTGTGTGTGTGTGTGTGTGTGTAGTTTTCTTGGATCTCCAGGGTGCACAGAGAAATCTGGAAGCATGTGAGTTAGCAGGCAGACTGACAGGGCATCATCAGGACTGTCCTGGAGGGTGGTGGGAGTGGAACTCCTAGCAAGAGCCCTGCCTCATCGTCACCTGACGCCTGCTGACCCAGGCTTCAGTCACACCTGGAAATGATCTCCAAGCCCCCTTCCTCCCCTGTTAGGTTGGTAACAGGATCTAGTTCTCACCATCTTGTGCTGCTCAGGCTGGCTTCGAACCTTGATCCTCAGATCTCAGCCTCCTGAGTATCTAGGATTACACATGTAAGCTACCCATGCTGGGCTGCATATATTCATACATATATATATATATGTATATATATTATACATACATATGTGTAGTTTTATTTATTTTTGTCGGTTAAACTCAAGGCTTTGGCACTGTCCCTGAGCTCTTTTGCTCAAGGCTAGCATTCTACCACTTTGAGCCATAGCTCTACTTCCAGTTTTTTGGTGGTTACTTGGAGATAAGAGTCTCACAGGATGTTCGGGTGCTGGTGGCTCATGCCACCTAGCTACTCAGGAGGCTGAGATCTGAGGATCACGGTTCAAAGCCAGCCCGGGCAGGAAAATCTGTGAGACTTTTTTTTTTTTTTTTGTGAGACTTTTATCTCCTAATAACCACCAGAAAGCCAGAAGTGGCACTGTGGCTCAAGTGATAGAGTGCTATCCTTGAGCTGAAGAGCTTAGGAAAGTACCCAGCCCCAGATTCAAGCCCCACAACTGACCAAAAAACAAAAACAAAAAGTGTCTCACAGGAACTTTTCTGCCCAAGCTGGCTTTGAACTGTGATCCTCACACCTCAGCATCCAGAGTAGCTAGGTGTGAGCCCAGCTTCATGCATTCACTTTTTTGTTGTTGTTGTTATTGTTGTGGGGCCTGAACTCTGGGCCTGGGTACTGTCCTTGAGCTCTTCAGCTCAAGGCTACCACTCCAACACTTAAGCCACAGCACCACTTTGGCTTTTTATGCCTATGTGGTGCTGAGGAATCAAACCCAGGACCTCATGCATGCAAGGCAAGCACTCTACCACTGAGCCACCTTCCCAGCTTCATGCATTCACTTTTAATGACATTTCACTGCCAGTTTAAGGGAAAGGCCTCTTTCAATGCAAGTGGTACGATATAAAGTGAGAGATGAAATCCAACAAATAGTGTTTGGCCAGAATCTGGAGACGGCCAGTCCTGACATCCTGCTGTGATCTGGATGCCCATCGCAGGCCAGGCTCCGTAATTGGCTTCTGCGCTGTTGGATGGCAGGTCTGAAACTGAACCACTGCGTCACACTCAAGCTTGAGGCCCAGCTCTGCACTGCTTAGCTGCATCCTACCCTGTCCATGGGCTCTTGGGGTTTTGTTCTCTGGGGAATAAAAAGAGAAGCCATCTCCTGGCCTTCTTCACTCACAATGGGCTTGTCTTAACTTTTCCCCAAAGTCAGCACAAGCTACATTTGTTGGTGGTGGTGGTGGTGGGGCTTGAACTCAAGACCTGGGTGCTGTCCCTGAGTCTCTTTATGCTCCAGTCTAGTGCTCTACCACTTGAGCCACAGCACCACTTCCGGCTTTTTCAGTGTATGTGGTGCTGAGGAATTGAATCCAGGGCCTCATGCATGCTAGGCAAGCACTCTACCACTGAGCCACCTTCCCAGCCACAGCCCCATTCTCTCAGCCTCCATAAAGTTGAGTCCATTGACCTTTGCCCCTGCCTCCTCCACCTGTCCTGGGGTCACGGCTCTGCGCACCCTCGTTGGATGGGATGGGCCGAGGCCCTGGCTGTGCTGGCCACTCCGAGGATGCGGGGGGGGGGGGGGGGGTAGGCTGCTTGCTAGGCGGGTCAGGCTCTGCGTGCTCTATGTCACATGGTGGCTGTCACATTACGATGTCGTGTTTGGGGGCAGATGTTTCCTCCTTGCTCCATCGGAGCACACGCAGGGAGGAAGCCAGGATCGCCAGGAGCCAGGGCCCAGCGCTGCTACGTCCTGGCCCAGGACCCAGCGGCCACCTCTTTGGGATGGTTCTCCTCCTAGTATGTGGGCTGTGGTCTGAGACCTGCCCCGGCTGGTCATTTGCACTACTTGGGTTAGGTTTGGTTTTTCCCAGCATGAACTCATGCATTTGAGTCCCCAGGGTCGGTGAGGTGCTCACATGTAGCCCCAGCCCTGTGGTGACCCCACACTCTGGTCCACGGGGACCATGGAGGGCTTGGGGAGCTGCTGTGGGGACGTGGCCCGCCAGCCTATGGGCGTGGCCTAGGCAGACACCGAGCTCCAGGGCATTTTGAGGCCTGTGGGCGCCCACAGCAGCATCTGTGGATTTTGCTTCCTGATTCTTACTCAGGAAGCCCTTTGCATGGCTTTAGTCATTTGCATGGTAAATCATTTTCTGACCTTTTGGTTTTTGTTTTTTTTCCAGCCTTAACTATAATGTAGTGTCCATGTTGAATGTTCTCCAGGAATAATGTTTTTATGGAATAAAGTATTCCCAGTTCTTTGGCTAGGCACTGGTGGCTCATGCCTGCAATCCTAGCTTCTCAGGAGGCTGAGATCTAAGGATCAAGGCTCCAATCTAGCCTGGTCAGGAAAGTCTATGAGACTCTTAATCTCCGGTTAATCAGATAAAACCTGGACATTGAGCTGTGGCTCCAGTGTGTCAGCCCTAATGGCGTACACATACCACACACAAACAGTGGTGGTGGTAGATCTTTATAGCACATTCTGGAACAGAGGCAGGGTATGGAAGCTGCAGGCCAGGTGGGGCCTCCGGGGGCCTTGGAGGGTGGTCAGGTAGCTTGCACAGCCGTGGCTGCAGCTTCTTGCGTTCTGGAATCCTGTCTTGCAGGAGACTACCTAAGTCCCATTGAGCCACGGGCCTGGATCTTTGGGCTCACTGGTACCACAGCCTGCCGCACAGGGACACAGGAAGCTGGCCCCGGTGCTGGCCACATAGCAGCAGATGCTTTGTTGGAGCACTTGGCACCCTGATCAGCACAGCCATGATTTCCCCCATGCCAGCCAGGACTTCCATCCATACCTCTTGGGTCAGTTTCTGGTGGGTGTTACCTTCAGGTTTTGTGGGCTGACTAGTGTCTAAAATAAAAGACCAGCCTTCATGTCCGTCCAGAGCTTCAGTGTGCCCTTGGAAAGAAGGCCTTTGTGTGTGCAACTAAGGATCTCAATTTCAAATCACCTTGCCTTTGAGGGGATCCTGAACCTAATCCTGGGTTTACAAGAAGAGGAGACAGAAATCTGGGTGCTAGTGGCTCACGTCTGTACTCCTCCCTACTCATCAGGAGGCTGAGACATGGCAGGATCACAGTTTGAAGGCATCTCAGACAGACAAATCTGTGCGACCACTCCATCTCTAACCACAAAAAGCTAGTCAGGAGGCATGGATCAAGTGGTGGCGTGCCAGCTGTTGGCAAGTGAACTGAGGAGGCAAGCCAAGCAAACACGGGGTTCTGAGTTCAAACCCTGCAACCAGCAAATAAAAAGGAGACACTGATGTCAGCAAAGGTCACATGGATGAAGATGACGACAGAGCCAGCAGGATGCGGCCCCAAGCCAAGCGGTGCTGGGAGTGAAGCAGGGCCCTGTGCTCACACAGGTTTGGACTTCGGGGCTCCTGAACTGTGAAAGATTAAATTTCTGTTTTTTCTTAACTACTGTATTTCTGCCTTTTTTTTTTTTTTTTATCAGTGTGAGGCTTGAACTCTTGAGCCTGGCCCTGTCCCTGAGCTCTTCAGCTCAAGGTGCGCTGGAGTTGTGGGCTGAGATGGCTCTACCACTTGAGCCACAGCACCACTTCCCGTTTTCTGGTGGTTCATTGGAGGTAAGAGTCTCCCAGACTTTCCTGCCTGGGCTGGCTTTGAACCATAATCCTTAGATCTCAGCCTCCTGAGTAGCTAGGATGACAGGCGTGAGCCACCAATGCCTGGCTTCTGGCCATTTTTTTTTTCTAGCAGCCATAGGAACCTTACAGTGGGGAAGGAAGGAAGGTCTGTGGGCAGGTGCTGCATGGCGGCAGCTGACACCGCGTTGCTCTGTGGTCCCTCGCTCGACCCTGGCCAGCTCAGGCTCTGAAGTGCAGCTGGATTCAGCTGTGTCCTCCCGTGGGCTGCTCCTTGGCAGGCTTCTGCCTCCTCCCCAGCTGACTGGGCCTGGCTTGAGTGGCCTCCCGTCGCCTGAGTCTGGCTTCAGGGCTGTTCTCAAGGCCACTTTCTCTCTTGCCTCTTTGCATTTTTTTGTGGGGGATTTGAACTCAGGTCCTCGTACTTGTTAAGCAGATGTTCTACCTGAGCCATGTCCCCAACCCTGCCTTGCCTCTTCATGCTATTTGAGAACCAGGTTTGCTTTTTGTCCCTTGAACGTCAGCTCCTCGATCACCCCTGTCCTTCTCAGCGCCAGGGCCTGAACCTCAGGACCCTGTGCCTGGGGCCCTGCACTCTTGCTTGGCTTCTCTCAGTGTGTCACACTTCCGCTCTAGCTTTCTTGCTGGAATGGGCCATCTTTGAGCCATGATCCTCAGATCTCAGCCTCCTGAATAGCTTGGACTACAGGCGTGAGCTGCTGG